GGGCGCTGGGGGCGCTGGAGGCGCGGCTGGCGCAATGGGCGCCTTGCGGCGCTGCGAGGCCAGGATGGCGTTGGAGGCGGCGCGCGTGCTGTTGACCAGCAGGCACTGCTGACACGAGCAGGGCTGGCCCGAGTTGGCTCCCACGGGCCAGGACTGCGACTTGGGGATGGAGCCGACCGTGAGCGGGTAGGCCAGGTCCAGGCGGCGGCGCAGGCGGCGGCGGCGGCGGGTCTGGCGGTTCATCTGGGACATGCTGTTGAAGTAGATGAGGTAGCAGAAGCCGAGCGACGAGAGGTCGAGCCACGGGTGCTGCTTCTCGTACGCGTTCTGGATGGTGATGCAGATGTCCATGTCGTAGGCCGTCCACGCGCCGCCGTCGCTCTCCCACTCCCACACGATGCCCTTGCCCGGCGCTGACGACGGATCGTAGAAGTTGCGTCGCACTGGCCGCATGGTGCCTGCGCTCAGAAGGGAGAGGGGGTGTCAGTCGGCACAGGCCCCCCAAGGGGACCTTCAGGGCCAAGAAGGGGATCTGGCCTGGGCGGTGGTGGCGCACGCCTTTAATCCCAGCACTCGGGAGGCAGAGCCAGGCGGATCTCTGTGAGTTCAAGGCCAGCCTGGGCTAGAGAGTGAGTTCCAGGACACATGGGGACTGGGCCGATGAGATGGCTCAGTAGGTCAAGGTGCTTGCCGCCAAGCCTGACCATATGATTTCAATCCCATGATTCCAATCCAATCACAGGACGGAAGGAGAGAATCGGCTCCTTCAGGCTGTGAACTGTCCTCCAATCAACTACTAAAAGCAATGAGATTTGATAGGGTATGGGGGCTGGGAAAGAAGCAGGCAGAGGCCCGCCCAGTCAACATGTGGGGTTACAGGGGCATACAAGAAGGGGTAGGTCATAGAGAGGAGGTAAAATCAAGGAGTGGGCCCTGGAGAGCCAGCCCACCCTCTGCAGGGCCAAGGCAGGCCCTGAAGGTCCTGGTTATCGCAGGAGTAGCAAAGGTGGGTAGTGTCCACACACAGAGCAAGGCTCATCTACAATCCCCCCCCCCCCAGTTCCCTCCCAGACTCCCAGGGTGCCCCCAACCTGACCATTGTGGGTTTCTGCATTCACACACAGGGCCTGTTGGATTCCACACTTCTCCCATTGGTCCGTTCATCGGGCCACACTTTCATTCATCCCCCCCCTTCATTCGTTCAGCCACGCCTTCTTGTATTCATTCACACCCGTATGTACCCTTTCTCCTTCACCCCGGCTTTTCCTTCCCCTCCCCCTCCCCTCTCTGTGTTCCAGCCCTGGGTAAACCGGTGCTGAGTACCCGCGGTGAGAGCGGAGCGTGCACGCCGCCGACCCCACACGTCAGCTCTGTGGTATCCTGGCCTGAGGTTCACCCGTGTTGTGTCTCCCGGCTCCTCGGCTCTGCACTGGCTGAGAGCCACGCTCTTGAGGAAGCTGAGGTTACCAGCGATTGACTTCGAAGGCTGCAGGACTTCTCAGGGCCTTAGCTGGCTGACTCTGGGCTGCCTGGCCCAGGTGCCACAGCACAGACATTACTCTCCTGGGCATGCAAGGCTGCTACCTGCTGCAAAGCTGTGGG